AACAGCCCTGGTGGACCCCCCTCTATATCCTGTGGTACCTTCCCATACTCTTCCACGCCTCCTTACACTGCATAATCATTAAGTGTCTGTAATATGCACCCTGCCAAGCCCATATGACCATATGATGACCTCTGGAAATATTCCAACCCTCGCTAACTCTGTCACGACCTTTCGCACCGAGTCCACTCGCCGTTCCCTTCCAGACAATTATATCTTGAGCTCTTCTACACTTGTCATAACCGGAATTATAAGCCCTCTGAGACATTTCCATACAGTGCCGTACCCAGCTGGGTTATGTACCCTCGTGCCTGCCAGTACCGTGCCCTCACGTATAGTGCGGTACCCTGCGGTACGTACCCTTGGCCTCACCCTCAGGCACGAGTCCGGATTTCTATCAAGTGGCATTACGAGTCTTTATGGCGCGCGCGCTTTTTTTTCGGTTCACTTGGCGGGACGGCTCGTCATTGGCGGGTCCCGGCGCGGCCAAGCGAGGTCATTGGTCGATAATTCGCCGGGTGCACTCACGGGATTGGCCGGCCGTACGTCACATTCCCGGGTTATTAATCAGACACGGAGGCAGGAGCTCCGTCACTGGCCGCAGTAACGCTCCCAGATCACGCTCCTGGTGAGGGGAAATGCCTCCTGGTGACGTCAGCCTTGACATGTCTTCCCCGCCTCAGGCAACACCATACAGGAAACGTCCCCACACATTCCCTAGAAGTCCTCAGCTAATTCTCATTATCTTTCAAGAGCACATTACCAACTTAATGCTTTTGGGGAATTATCTTAAAGATTAACGATCATTTAAAAAAAAAATAGTTCCGGTGATTACTTAATGACTCTAATTTACTTCGTCAATAAAACCTGCTAAGAACTGGTGTTTACTAATGAACAAATCCACAAGGGCAGTGACGAGGATTCGAACCTGCGTCCGAGAGCATCCGGAGCATGCGAGTGTTTACGATATTTGGAAACACTACTATATTACTTATTACTAAATTCTAGCCAAGTGCAAGTTATTTGTGGTATATATCTTTCTTAACCAACCAAAGGCCAGGATTCGCCAAGTGGATTTACCAGACGGCTGAGTGGACAGCGCTCGGGATTCGTAGTCCTAAGGTTCCGGGGTTCGATTCCCAGCGTGAGGCGAAAACAAATGGCCAGAGTTTCTTTCACCGTGATGCTCCTGTTCACCTAGCAGTGCACCTGGAACCTGGGAGCAGCCACGTCCAACAGCCTGGTTGACCAGTCCAGCAAGGCCTGGTCGAGGACCGGGCCGCGGGGACGCTGATCCTAGGAACCATCACAAGGTGGCAGTAAAATCCCCCCCCCCACCCCCTCTCTCCCAACCCCTTGAGAAATGATTAAGGGCAGTCTAGGGATTGATTGATTGATAAAGATTAAGCCACCCAAAAGGTGGCACGGGCATGAATAGCCCGTAAGTGGTGGCTCTTTTGAGCCATCACCAGTATCATTAGCTGATACTGATGCCAGTGTAGGGGAGTAGCATAACAGAAAAAGGGGGAAAGGAGGGAGGAGGGAGGGAGAGATAATGATTGTACTCTTTAACCCCCCCCCCCTCCCTCCCTTCCCCTCTATCCTTCTAACCTCTTCCAATCCTCCCCCCCCATCCTACCCGTGACCCACGCCCCCCTCCCCCACCAGTATAGTATTCCGCCCTCTCGCCTCCTCCTCCCCCCCTTTTAAAGCTGATGAAATCGGTGAGCTGGAAGATGGCACAGAGATCCTTCATCGTGGCTGCTACTTGCTGTGGTTGGCTTCCTTCCTTCCTTCCTTCCTTCACCGCTTCCTTCTCTTCTTATATCAACCCTCGTAGCCTGGTAGATAGCGCGCAGGACTCGTAATTCTGTAGCGCGGGTTCGATTCCCGCACGAGGCAGAAACAAATGGGCAAAGTTTCTTTCACCCTGAATGCCCCTGTTACCTAGCAGTAAATAGGTACCTGGGAGTTAGTCAGCTGTCACGGGCTGCTTCCTGGGGGTGGAGGCCTGGTCGAGGACCGGGCCGCGGGGACACTAAAGCCCCGAAATCATCTCAAGATAACCCGCCTTTTCTTTCTCTTCCACTCCTACTCCTCCCCTCCCTCTCTCCCCCCTGTTCCTTCCTATATTCCCCCCCCCCTATTTTGGTTCATTCCACACCCAATATTGCTAAATATGAGGAAAATCCACAGAGAGAAACAGGGAAGGGACATGAACGTTTCGGCCGATCAAAGCCGTTGTCAACACAATTCGGCGTTGACCGGCCGAAACTTTTTTTTTTTTTTTTTTTATTAAGTTATGATCTACATCTGCATTAGTGCAGCTACCCTAGACTATATGAAGTGGAGTACAGTGTGTCAAAAAAGCTAACTAGGTGATGCTATAAAATCCCCATCACACAGGATGGTTAGTCATACAGAGGCATGTGATGGCGAAACGTTCACCTCCCTTCCACATAACTCTGTGGATTTTCCCGCATAAAAACAATCAAATGTGTCGTGATTGTCAATTGCATGACTAAATACATGTTATCCTCTACTTTCTGATCATATCCCCACCGTCCTGGCTATCTTGTTCCTCCTCCTCCTCCTCCTCCTCGGTACTGTTTCTCTACTTCATGGCAGTATTGGAGTCAGGGGCGGCGGGGTACTGGGAGTACTGGGGCGGCTCCCTCCCAGCCCACTGGAGGCTAGCCCACGTGTAGCAAACTTCGCCTCGCGCTCCACGCCTTGCAGCTCAACTTAATACCAAGTTCCTTCGGGTGTAGTGAAGTTGTGTGTGTGTGTATGTATGTATGTATATATATATATATATATATATATATATATATATATATATATATATATATATATATATATATATATATATATATATATATATATATATATATATATATATATATATATATATATATATGACAGTGTCAGACCACGGAGGAAGAATTGAAACAGGAATTTCCTGAAGTACTTTCGTATATTAATACATCTTCAGAAGGAATGAAGTTGTTGTTGTTTAAGAATCGCTACTGGGAACAAAATGTTCCAAGTAGCACGGGCTATGGTGAGCCCGTGATTGATTTACAAGTCGATTGATTGATTGATTGATGAAGATTAAGCCACCCAAAAGGTGGCACGGGCATGAATAGCCCGTAAGTGGTGGCCCTTTTAAGCCATTACCAGTATCAAGAGCTGATACTGGAGATCTGTGGAGGTGCGACTGCACCTGTTTACAAGTCAAGTATTGGGCATATATACAGGCAGGAGAGAGAGAGGTGACGTGAGGTGAGGTACAATGAAAAATGAATGGGAATTAGGTGAATACAAATAATATTGGCCCATACAAGGCAGCTCCTATTTATACCCACCAATAGGCCCACACATGGATTGTAAATATTTACTATTGTAAATATTGTAAATATTTACAATGAATTAATGAGACAAATGTGTATCAGTGATCCTACTCAAATCGCCCTTTAATTGCTCTATCAAAAAAGGATCTCAGATATATAAACCACTGCTAATGTTCAAATGACATTCTTTTGTAATCTGTATTAAAGCAGATACCTGATCAACCAGGCTGTGACGCATACGTCAGGCTGCGAGCAGCCGCGTCTAACAGCCTGGTTGATCAGTCCAGCAACCAGGAGGCCTGGTCGACGACCGGGCCGCGGGGACACTAAGCCCCGGAAGCACCTCAAGGTAGCCTCAAGGTAGATTCAATTATGTTCCTGTTATAAGTGCTTTTACAATTCGTTATTGAAGAAGACAACTCCCAATCCCTTTGGTGAACATTTTCTGACAGATGAACAAAGTATTAGATAATTGGCCATGTCTTTACTGAGTATTTACTCTGTATTAAAGTATTCACCATACACAGTCCAGGAGAGACCAGTCACCATACACCGTCCAGGAGAGACCAGTCACCATACACCGTCCAGGAGAGACCAGTCACCATACACAGTCCAGGAGAGACCAGACACCATACACAGTCCAGGAGAGACCAGTCACCATACACAGTCCAGGAGAGACCAGACACCATACACAGCCCAGGAGAGACCAGTCACCATACATGACCCAGAAGAGACCAGTCACCATACATGACCCAGAAGAGACCAGACACCATACACAGTCCAGAAGAGACCAGACACCATACACAGTCCAGAAGAGACCAGACACCATACACAGTCCAGGAGAGACCAGACACCATACACAGTCCAGGAGAGACCAGTCACCATACATGACCCAGAAGAGACCAGACACCATACACAGTCCAGAAGAGACCAGACACCATACACAGTCCAGAAGAGACCAGACACCATACACAGTCCAGGAGAGACCAGTCACCATACATGACCCAGAAGAGACCAGACACCATACACAGTCCAGGAGAGACCAGTCACCATACATGACCCAGAAGAGACCAGTCACCATACACAGTCCAGGAGAGACCAGTCACCATACACCGTCCAGGAGAGACCAGTCACCATACACCGTCCAAGAGAGACCAGTCACCATACATGACCCAGAAGAGACCAGTCACCATACACAGTCCAGGAGAGACCAGTCACCATACACCGTCCAGGAGAGACCAGTCACCATACACCGTCCAGGAGAGACCAGTCACCATACACAGCCCAGGAAAGACCAGTCACCATACACCGTCCAGGAGAGACCAGTCACCATACACCGTCCAGGAGAGACCAGTCACCATACACAGGCCATGAGAGACCAGACAGCATACACAGTCCAGAAGAGACCAGACACCATACACAGGCCAGAAGAAAACAGTCATCATACACAGGCCAGAAGAGACCAGACACCATACACAGGCCAGAAGAAAACAGTCACCATACACAGGCCAGAAGAGACCAGTCACCATACACAGCCCAGAAGAGACCAGTCACCATACACCGTCCAGGAGAGACCAGTCACCATACACCGTCCAGGAGAGACCAGTCACCATACACAGCCCAGGAGACACCAGACACCATACACAGGCCATGAGAGACCAGACAGCATACACAGTCCAGAAGAGACCAGACACCATACACAGGCCAGAAGAAAACAGTCACCATACACAGGCCAGAAGAGACCAGACACCATACACAGGCCAGAAGAAAACAGTCACCATACACAGGCCAGAAGAGACCAGTCACCATACACAGCCCAGAAGAGACCAGTCACCATACACAGGCCAGAAGAGACCAGACACCATACACAACCCAGAAGAGACCAGTCACCATACACAGCCAAGAAGAGACCAGTCACCATACACAGCCCAGAAGAGACCAGTCACCATACACAACCCAGAAGAGACCAGACACCATACACAGGCCAGAAGAGACCAGTCACCATACACAGCCAAGAAGAGACCAGTCACCATACACAGCCAAGAAGAGACCAGTCACCATACACAGCCCAGAAGAGACCAGTCACCATACACAACCCAAAAGAGACCAGACACCATACACAACCCAGAAGAGACCAGACACCATACACAGCCAAGAAGAGACCAGTCACCATACACAGCCAAGAAGAGACTAGACACCATACACAACCCAGAAGAGACCAGACACCATACACAGTCCAGAAGAGACCAGTCACCATACACAACCCAGAAGAGACCAGACACCATACACAGTCCAGAAGAAAACAGACACCATACACAACCCAGAAGAGACCAGACACCATACACAGGCCAGAAGAAAACAGACACCATACACAGGCCAGAAGAGACCAGACACCATACATGACCCAGAAGAGACCAGACACCATACATGACCCAGAAGAGACCAGACACCATACATAGCCCAGAAGAGACCAGACACCACACACAGCCCACGAGAGACCAGACACCATACATGACCCAGAAGAGACCAGACACCATACATGACCCAGGAGAGACCAGACACCATACATGACCCAGGAGAGACCAGACACCATACATGACCCAGGAGAGACCAGGATTATCTTTGGGTTAAGCCATAGACAACATGCCAGTCTAGTCCTCTTGCAAATCTATATTGAGAGAAAACTTTGAAGAATCTATCACAAGTCATAGACTATAGTGTGCCTAGATACCGAAGAAATCCCAGATAGTCAAAACAGGTTCAGCAGCATACCTGGAGCAAACCTGGAGAGGATTTCGCGAGTTCTTCTACATCCCGAGCCCAACCTGAGGTGCCATAGACACAATCAGAGAACACTGTCTGAACATCAGAGGTCCGCGGCTGTTCAACACCCTCCCAGCGAGCATTAGAAATATTGCCGGAACGAAGGTGGATGTATTCAAAGAAGCACTTGGATAAGTTCTTGCAAGAAGTGCCGGACAAACCAGGCTGTAGTGGGTATGTGGGCCTGCGGGCCACTCCAAGCAACAGCCTGTTGGACCAAGCTCTCACAAGTCAAGCCTGGCCTCAGGCCGGGCTTGGGGAGTAGAAGAACTCCCAGAACCTACTCCAGGTATGGCTCCAGGTATGGCTCCAGGTATGCTCCAGGTATGGCTCCAGGTATGGCTCCAGGTATGGCTCCAGGTATATCTCCAGGCATGGCTCCAGGTATATCTCCAGGCATGCTCCAGGTATGGCTCCAGGTATGGCTCCAGGTTAAGAAGACTGTCAGACGCGGCTGCTCGCAACCTGCTCCAAGGTGTTTTATCTTCTACCTGAGTGTGACTTAGTCTGAATAACGGGTGTAACACATAGGCTGCAACATATACACCGGGTGCTATGAGTATAGGATGTGTGAGTGAGAGAGTGCGAGTGTGAGCGTGTGTGTGAGTGTGTAGGTAGAGTTTACGGGCATCATAATTGAGTAAAGGTGAGCCGGGTTCTTCAGGGGGTTGTCGGGTGTCTTGGCTGGACAAGTCGGCGGTGCTCACGTGGCGAGCCGCGGGGCACGCCAAGCAAAAACTAGGAGCATCCACACGTTACAGTGAGGCCTCCCGACCTCCTGCCCGCTAGCCTGGTGAGGGAGGTCGTCACACAACCCTCCCACCCAACATACCAATCTTTCTCCCCCATTGAGCCAAGTCTTCCCCACAGTGTGTGTGTGTGTGTGTGTGTGTGTGTGTGTGTGTGTGTGTGTGTGTGTGTGTGTGTGTGTGTGTGTGTGTGTGTGTGTGTGTGTGTGAGAGAGAGAGTACTTGCGTGCTGGCAAGGAGGAGGAGAGGGTGGGGATAGGAATGTGGGTGTCCGTGTACGCATGATGATAAAAGGCGTAAAAATGGGCGCTGGCAGTATCGTACGCCATGAACCATAGGGGTGTCCACCTGCAGGGAGCCAGAGCCCCCAGATTAGACAATAACACGCCGGGGCGACACAGGTGGCACAGGTAATAATAGAGGCGACCCCCATGATGCTAACCGTTTAGGACACCGTGCAACCAATCAATCACCCCTGCAGGGCTCTGCGCGCTATAAATAATGGCCACAATAACATGGTGGGCGCGTTAAGGCTGGGATGGCGCGGGTGAGTTTTCCCAGCCAAATCGGGAGGGGTAGGTCGGGTCGGGTCGGGCGGGATCACCCCTCGCCAAACAGGATTTGATGCTTCATTATGTATTCTCAAGTAGGTTGGCGCAAGCAGGCTGGCTGCGCACTGCCAGATCCGGTACACTGCGCAGGTTGTTGCCACTGCTCTTGCCCCTGACTGTCCGCCCGCCCGCTCACCTGTCCGCCCACCCACTTCCCTGGCTTACCTGTCCTTACCGCTTACCTCTTCTTCCCCCTTCCACCCTCTTGCTCAGGGCTTGCCCCCCCGTTTCTCTGCTTTGCGTATCACGCTAGCCAAAATGCTCGTATGTGTTTCTCCTTGCCAACCTATTTCCTTGTATCTTGTTGGCAGGCAGGCAGGCAGGCAGGCAGGCAGGCAGGGAAGACAGCATGTACAAGTAGCTGTAGGGTAACAAGCGAGGCTCTGCGTACAGAGGTGGTCCCTGGCAGCTAGGGACCAGCTAGCAGAGGTACGGTTACCTTCAGTCTCCTGCAAACTCTACACCATACACTGATAAATGCCCCTGGCTTATCTCTCTCTCTCTCTCTCTCTCTCTCTCTCTCTCTCTCTCTCTCTCTCTCTCTCTCCGAGTGTGACGTACAGTGTGAGAGCACACTTGTACACCGCACCAAAAAGCGCATGCGACAGTGAGCGGGAGTGCACATGCTCGCCTGTCTTCCGTCCTCGTGCCGTCAAACTGATGAAACACACAAAATTACACAAATATGTACTTTAAGGTCAGAGGAAAGGTGTTGTTTAGCGGGAGGGAGGGAGGGAGGGAGGGACAAAGGCCCCGGCCAGAACACAGTCATGCGAGGCCCTACACCACACTGTCGACCACCGCTAACGCTTCCCAAACTACGGGCTCACCATAGCCCGTGCTACTTGGAACTTTTTGTTCCGGGTAGCGAATTTTAAACAACAAGCTTCCCAAGCAATCCAATAAACAAACCCGTCCTCCTATACATCGCATATATCACGGAACGGACCAGTACGTTAAAAAATGCGACGTATTCGTATCAAGTAAAGCCCCATAATCTTGACGTTGGAGGTGGTAGGAGGGCCAACATGTCCTACTTACCTCTTACGAGCTGGCTGCCTCGTGAGAGCACACTGTTGTTTCAGAGTATAGTTACTCTTGTACAACTCTTTACACAAGGGGACAGATTCACGAAAGCACTTACGCAAGCATTTACGAACGTGTACATCTTTCCTCAATCTTTGACGGCTTTGGTTACATTTATTAAACAGTTTACAAGCATGAAAACTACCCATTCAACTGTTGTTATTGTTATAAACAGCCTCCTGGTGCTTCGGCGCTCATTAACTGTTTAATAATTGGACACAAAACCGCCAAAGTGAGAAAAGATGTACAGGTTCGTAAGTGTTTGCGTAAGTGCTTTCGTGAATCTGTCCCCCAAGGCCGGTAGACTCCATGGATTGAGTCACGGCCAGAAGTCGGGGGGGGGGGGGAAGTAGTTTGGTGGTTGACGAATGTTGTCAAGACCTCGGAGCGCTGTTTGAGACACCGTAGCGGATAATCTACCACCAATCAGCGCCACCGACCCCACGTGACCGAAGCAAGGTCAGCCTGGGTCACCAAATGAAGGCGCAGTCTCGCCTCACCTGCCGTAAGAGCCGGGATCCACCTGTCAGTCTCGCCTACCCTGCCGTAAGAGCCGCCATCCACCTGCAAGTCTGGCCTCACCGCCTCCACAGTCTCATTCAACCTCTGAGGTACAGTAGTGTTGTACCGCTTCCCCGAGCACGATAGATCAACATGATCTATCCTGCTACGCGTAATTTAGTATCTATGCGTAATAGCCGAATGACGATAAGTTTGAGCAACTTTTAGCAGATAGCTGGTGAACCCCAAAGATCAACCAGGAGGCCAGGTAGGAGACCAGGCAACGCGAGTCCTCACGGCGCGAGTCATTGATCCTGGGAAGCACTTCAAGGTCACAAGGGCCGGTGTTCCTCGTGCCGCCGCTGGAACACCTCTTGATGTATCACCTTATTGTTATTTCATTGTCTCTGAGAAAATGTTTGGAGTAGGACGGCGGGATGGGACCGGCCTCACCCCCCACACTCGCCTTAACCCATGAACCACGACATGCCCAAGTTGCAGGACCTGGCGTCCGCCTGTGAGCGGCAATGGTGAACTTGGTTCCATCCCGCCGCCCTCCTCACAGAGTACTCTATCTTGCGAGAGATAAGCCTGGTATACCACCCACACGTGACACAGGTCATTAGCCCTCGTTAATGACCTTATAACACAATATGCAGACTAAATAGCGGCTCCTTATACCACACCCGAATTACGCTTACCATTTCACGGGTTCCTGAACTGTGTTCCTGCTTGATGGGGTTCTTGGAGTAGTTCTACTCCCCAAGCTACTTGACTTGTGAGAGTTTGGTCCACTAGGCTGTTGCTTGGAGCGGCCCGCAGGCCCACATACCCACCACAGCCCGGTAGATCCGGCACTCCTTGGAGGAATAAATCTAGTTTCCTCTTGAAGATGTCCACGGTTGTTCCGGCAATATTTCTTATGCTCGCTGGGAGAGGTGATGGGCGAAGCGGTACACCGCGAGGCCCTGCCTATCACAACCCTGTACAGAGGGACCCGGGAGCTGCACTTGGGTCAAAACATTGTCATGAGAGGGAGAGAGAGCATGAGCTAGTACCCGTCACCACAACTGCTACAACTCTGGCAAATCCCCACCAAAATTTACACATGGTATGTAATTGGGGCGCGTGCTTGGGTTACACGCACCCCCCATTGGCACTCCATCCCCCCCCCCTCCCTCACACTCCTCGACACTACCCCCCCCCCCCACACACACACACACATGTCCTCGTCAACAACCCAACAGGAGACCTGTCCACCGTAACTACCCCCACACTATGATTCCATGTCCAGTGTGACAACTGCCTCCAGTCACCGGGGGTCCGTGCTCCCCCAGACACCCCCCCACCCTTTCTCCCCCACTCGAAAGAAGCCTTATTCTTTGATCAGTTTTCCTGTTGGTGGTGTCACCTCGCAGCACTGTGATTGGATATGTTTTGCAAATTTTTGAACGCGGGATTACCTGAAGACTGTTCCGCGGGTTGTTATTCTACCCTAGCAAGGCCTTAGGCCAGGCATGTCTCGGTCATAACTTGATCAAAATGGCTGTTTTTGCAGCGGCCTGCAGCTGTGTTGGTAATTCCCAAGTTGCCAAGACGGTGGGAGTTGGAAGGATTTGGGATCTTTAATGTTTATAGAATTTTCTTCTGAGTGTACTTATTGCGCCCATCCTTTTAAATGGCGCTATTTTGCGACGTCCCCTGCTCTGCCAGGGAGCCATTTCACACCACACTTTTTGAACTACTTCCTGTAATATATTCCAGATGTAAATTATGATCTCTCTCTCTCTCTCTCTCTCTCTCTCTCTCTCTCTCTCTCTCTCTCTCTCCTGCAATGATATTATGCTGTCTCAATAATTTAGTTGTTTAATTTGTGTATTAAATTTTGGTGATATCATAAATGTCCAGCAACCAGGAGGCCTGGTCGACGACCGGGCCGCGGGGACGCTAAGCCCCGGAAGCACCTCAAGGTAACCTCAAGGTAAGGTGAGCATCTGTAATGTTCCCTAGAGAGTACTCGTGTCCTCCTACAGCACAATATTTACCCAAGTATATACACAAACAGGGGTACATATAGGGGCCAGGTGGCTAAGTGGACAGCAAATTGGGCACGTAATCCTGTGGTTCCGGGGTTCGATTCCCGGCGCCGGCGAGAACCAATGGGCAGAGTTTTTCACCCTAATGTCCCTGTGTGGCAACCGTAAATAATAACCTATTTACCTAACGGTAAATAGGTACCTGCGAGTTAGAGTACCAGAATAGACACAGAGATAGGAACATGCCATTCTGTGTGTGTGTGTGTACTCACCTAGTTGTGTTTGCGGGGGTTGAGCTCTGGCTCTTTGGTCCCGCCTCTCAACCGTCAATCAACAATCAACAGGTGTGTGTGTGAGTGTGTGTGTGTGTGTGAGAAAGTTAATTGACAGTTGAGAGGTGAGTTGAAAGAGCAGAGCTCAACCCCCGCAAGCACAACTAGGTGAATACAGGCAGGCACGCCAACACACACACGCACACGCCAACACGCACGCTAAGAGCGCACGCACGCTAACGCACATTCAAAGCATCGGGTAAAATAAGAGGGAGAAGCATCCTTTATCTGCGCCAGAAGTGGTGGGTGTGTGAGCGTGGAGGCTGCTCTCTACCCCCGGGTGACGAGTGCGCGCGAGGCACCTTCCCGGATGACTACCTGATCAAATGGCCTGTTACTGCTGGCAACACGCGCGCTATAATGACAACCTGTTTGATCGTTCTGTCTATTGAGGCTGATAAACCACGCTTCCCGAAGGTGGTTGTCTATCCCGCTCGCGGCGGCGGCGGAGGCAGCGGCGGAGTTCGCGGCGGCGGAGGCAGCGGCGGCAGCGGCGACGGAGTTCACGGCGACGGCGGAGTTCGTGGCGGCAGCGGCGGCGGAGTTCACGGCGACGGCGGAGTTCACGGCGGCGGCGGAGTTCACGGCGACGGCGGAGTTCGCGACGGCGGCAGCGGCGGCGGAGTTCGCGGCGGCGGCGGCGGCGGAATTAAATTAGTCATGTGAACACAACAACGAAGACTTACAAATATCACTTGCTGTAAAACTGATCTATGAAACTATTCATAAATGTGTGTGTGTGTTCACCTACACAATAACAGCAACTTTAGTGTATAAAATGGGTGGGCATTTACCCCGAGGTTACCTTGAGGAGGTGCTCAAGATCACTGTCCCGGAGGTCGGTTCTCTAACCAGGACTCTCAAGTGGTTGGTCTGGTCAACCAGGTTGTTAGACGCCGCGGCTCGTAGTCTGACCAATGAATTACAACTAGACTGATCAAATATCCTTTTGAAGCGTTATCAAAATTCCATTTTGAACAATACAGGAAGTCATTTAGTTCATGACCTTCGTGTATAGTGTACTCACCTAGTTGTGCTTGCGGGGGTTGAGCTCTGGCTCTTTGGTCCCGCCTCTCAACCGTCAATCAACTGGTGTACAGGTTCCTGAGCCTATTGGGTTCTATCATATCTACACTTGAAACTGTGTATGGAGTTGTAACACGGGTCGGGGTTCCTCTCTCTACTTCCTTCTTTCTTTGCCCTCTACCCGTATTCTTACTTATATTCTCTACCAAGGGACTCCAAAACTTTTACCAAAGCCAACTCCACGCCACGTGGTCCTAAGACGATTGACCGACTTAGGATTCTACACCCAGTATGACGTGCCCTAAGCTCTGAGCAAAACCCTAGAGTCGCCTCTATGCTGCCACCACCAGACCAGCTCTACAGAGCAATGATCGAGGTCTGGATCGATCACGCTAATTAATCAACCTTGGGGCTTGATCCCCACTAGTAGTTTATAACCTCGGAAACTTGAGTGTGGAATTAATTAGATGGGGATGATGAATTCCGATCCGATGTTAGAACCTCTGGAGGTTCTAATCTCAAAAATCCTCGTCATTTGCAAAGGATTTGGTACTATAGTATGTGTAGCCGTCTTCGTCGGGTCTATCTTAAGGTGTTTTCGAAGGTAGCGAAGATAGAAGAGTACTGGAGCAAGCGCAGTATCCTGAGGAGGGAGACTGACTGACTGACTGACCGACCGACCGACCGACCGACCGACCGACCGACCGACCGACCGACCGACCGACCGACCGACCATGCTGAATAATCCAGATTTTATTATCATTCTTGCTGTTTATAAAATGTTTATTTATTGTTTATAAAACAACATTTAGAAAATGTTGTTGTTGTTTTAAGATACCTGGAACCAAAAGCTCCAGGTAGCACGGGCTATGGTGAGCCCGTAAAAATTTAGAGAAGTATTATGGCCTTACCGCCAGGCGCGGTGAGGCCCATTATCACACAACACGCAGGAAGTCGAAGACATTGAGAATAAACCAATCCACAAGGGCCGTGACGAGGGTTCGAACGGACATTCTGAGATCCTCTGGGACGCAGGTTCGAACCCTCGTCACGGCCCTTGTGGGTTTGTTCATTTGATGCATCACGCGATTGTGATTTTTGTGTGAACATTAAGATTAATTGTTGGTATAAGTTATCCACATTATGGAAGACAGGATTTACGGGTTATTCATGCCCGTGCCACCTCTTGGGTGGCTTGATCTTCAATCTATCAAGACAGGAAACATAACATGATCTAAAGCACAAAATTACTAAGACAAAATTCTAATGATGGCTTATAAGAATTTGCATATGTTCAGCATTTTACAAGAAGAGGTTTGGGAGGTAGCCAGGATCAAAATGACTTAGAACCCACAGCTTATGTGTCGGGAATCTAATTTCAAAGAGGATTTAAGGTACTTTTCAACAAATCTCCTTGTGAGAGTAATTCCTTAAGAGTGTACTCACAATAAGACACCAAGGGGTGGCGGGGCCGTGATGATCTCTCTGGCGTCTTACCTACAAGGAAGAAAATTACTATTAGCATACCTGGAGAAACTCGCCCCTCCTTGCCGTAGTACTTGAATGACGGCGAGGGAAAGACCCAATCTTATGTGTAAGTGTATTAACAAATCTCATTTTCGGATGTAACTCCATCCTTTCTTAAGGTGTTGTATACAAGGTAGTGTTGTTGTATACAGCACTTTCAGAGAGGATTTTGATTTGTGCACCCCATACCCATCCTGTGAGCGGTAGCGCAAAAAGCATTACAGAGGGCACAAAAGGTCTCTATCAGACCTCATCTTAGATTATTACATAAACAATTTCATCTATCCTTCACGCCTTATAATGTACGGTACATCCGACTTATTTTTTGTTAATATACTTACACACATATATATATATATAATGGCTGTTTCCTTCACCTTAATTAGCATACCTGTTGAACGACCCAGCGGTCCACATGGAGGCAGATGGCATCTCTACTTCTATTAATATCTCGGACCACATCACGTTGTTCCAATCTCTCTGTCTGCTGTTGTGCCCGTCCTCCCTGTCTGCTCCCCCCCCCTCTCCGTCCCTTCCTCCCGTGAAGGTGTCGACGGCCGTCTGTTACCGATGAAAGAGCAACAACAACATCACACCGCCTCTAAACGGCAGTTGTATCCAAACAATGAGCCTAACAGTCTTCACTTCATATCAAGGAAAGATAAGGTTTTATGGAGAAAGCGCTAGGCCAGGATGACGATACTGCATAGCACTTTTAAAGGAATATAGTCATTGAGCTGGGGTATGAGGACGCGGAGCTGGGGTATGAGGACACGGAGCTGGGGTATGAGGACACGGAGCTGGGGTATGAGGACGCGGAGCTGGGGTATGAGGACACGGAGCTGGGGTATGAGGACGCGGAGCTGGGGTATGAGGACACGGAGCTGGGGTATGAGGACGCGGAGCTGGGGTATGAGGACGCGGAGCTGGGGTATGAGGACGCGGAGCTGGGGTATGAGGACACGGAGCTGGGGTATGAGGACGCGGAGCTGGGGTATGAGGACACGGAGCTGGGGTATGAGGACGCGGAGCTGGGGTATGAGGACACGGAGCTGGGGTATGAGGACAAGGTGACTAAATTTACCACAATCGCGCCCCCTCCCCCTCACTATCCACCAGTTCAGGTTCTGAACACGTTTACCATTTAGAGAGAGTGTTCCTCACAGCGTCTGAGGTCAGACACATTGGCCAATGACGCTAGGCAACGCTTGGCTTCCACAGAGATCAGGTGAAGCCAGGTGACGCCACGGAACCAGGTGACGCCACGAAGCCAGGTGACGCCACGGAACCAGGTGACGCCACGGAACCAGGTGACGCCACGGAGCCAGGTGACGCCACGGAGCCAGGTGACGCCACGGAACCAAATGACGCCACGAAGCCAGGTGACGCCACGGAACCAGGTGACGCCACGGAACCAGGTGACGCCACGGAGCCAGGTGACGCCACGGAGCCAGGTGACGCCACGGAACCAGGTGACGCCACGGAACCAAATGACGCCACGGAGCCAGGTGACGCCACGGAACCAGGTGACGCCACGGAACCAAATGACGCCACGGAACCAGGTGACGCCACGGAACCAAATGACGCCACGGAACCAGGTGACGCCACGGAGCCAGGTGACGCCACGGAACCAAATGACGCCACGGAGCCAGGTGATGCCACGGAACCAGGTGACGCCACGGAGCCAGGTGACGCCACGGACCCAGGTGACGCCACGGAGCCAGGTGACGTCAGGCACCTCCCCAAGCACTGCATGCTAGACAACACCAAGCAACTTGCCTTGGTGATTACCTAGACACGATTACCACCGTTCCTGTATCGCAGCCTGGCCCGGGACCGCCTTCCCTGGCGAGAGCCTGATCTAAGAGGCCGCCTGCCCACACACACACGGTAACTCCAGCACACACTTCTTGGACTGTCGCTTCATAGATGTTCTTATATCTGTTGAGATGAGGTTGAAGAGTCCTGGGTCTACTGTGTTTACACTGTTCTCTAACCTTGCCTATGGCGCCTGCATGCCTATTGCAATTATTTTATATTTTATGTTTCCTACCAACTCTCTCACTCTAGGGTGTTGGAACTGGATTGCCCGCAACCCCCACTCATCCCTCTCCCTTTCCCTCTCTCTCTCTCTCTCTCTCTCTCTCTCTCTCTCTCTCTCTCTCTCTCTCTCTCTCTCTCGTGTCCGTTCCAAGGAGTACAATTTGAGTGCTTTATGTAGTGGCAGTAATTTAAGTGCTTGAGAGATTGTATGCGAGCAGTAAAGTACTTGAGGACACCCTGCAGCTCTGCTACCTCGCCTGCCTTGTAAGGTGAGAGTGAGCAATATTCCTCCCAAGACGCCATCCCTCAAGAGTACCATAACTGGTCTAGCATCTCCTTGTTCCCAATTTCCCTATTATCCACACTCTCACTTTCCTATTACCTTTACTCTCTTGTGGTCTCTAAACCATTACATCTTCTCTCATTATTCCCAAGACGCTCTCGCCCCTTTCTCAGAGATGTGACTGTGTCGTGTATACTGTACTCTTCTCCGGGTTTTTCACTGTTCCCGAATCAAAGTAATTGGAATTTATCACCGTTAAACGTCATAATATTTTATGTTGCTCATTGAAAAGCCTCGTTATCTGCGTGCAGTTTTCTGTTTCTTCCACCTATCTTGTGGCCACCTTGTGGCGAGTCTGAGGATCAACGTCCCCGCGCCCGGGGTCTCTGACCAGCCCTCCTGGGGTTGGTGGTCTGCTCAACCAGGCTGTTGGACGCCGCTGCTGCTCCCAGCCTGATGTATGGATCACAGCCTGCTTGATCAGGTATCTACTTGATACCTGTTTGATGGGGTTCTGGGAGTAGTTCTACTCCCCAAGCCCGGCCCGAGGCCAGGCTTGACTTGTGAGAGTTTGGTCCACCAGGCTGTTGCTTGGAGCGGCCCGCAGGCCCACATACCCACCACAGGTCCAGCACTCATTGAAGAAAACTATGAACTTTTCTCTTGAAGATGTCCACGGTTGTTCCGGCAATATTTCTTATAGTCGCTGGGAGGGTGTTGAACAACCGCGGACCTCTGATGTTTATACAGTGTTCTCTGATTGTGCCTATGGCACCTCTGCTCTTCACTGGTTCTATTCTGCATTTTCTTCCATATCGTTCATTCCAGTACGTTGTTATTTAGATTTGGGACCTGACCCTCTAGTATTTTCCATGTGTATATTATATGATCTCTCTCGTCTTCTTTCTAGTGAGTACATTTGGAGAGCTTTGAGACGATCCTAATAATTTAGGTGTTTTATCTCGTCTATGCGTGCCGTATATGTTCTCTGTATTCCCTCTATTTCAGCAATCTCTCCTGCTCTGAAGGGAAAAGTGAGTACTGAACAGTACTCAAGACGGGACAACACAATTGACTTGTAGAGTACAACCATTGTGATGGGATCCCTGGATTTGAAAGTTCTCATAATCCATCCTATCATTTTTCTGGCTGACGCAATATTTGCTTGGTTATGCTCCCTAAACATTAGGTCGTCGGACATCATTATTCCCAAATCCTTGACGTGCTGCTTTCCTGCTATGGAAATTTGATTGATTTGTACCCTGTATTATGTTTAAGGTCCTCATTTTTACCGTACCTGAGTACCTGGAATTTATCGCTGTTAAACATCATGTTATTTTCTGCTGCCCAATCGAAAACTTTTATGAATATCAGCTTGAAGTTTTTCAATGTCTTCAACAGAGGTAATTTTCATGCTGACTTTTGTATCATCTGCAAAGGATGATACGAAGCTGTGACTTTTGTCTATATCTGATATGAGAATAAGGAAAAGCAGCGGTGCAAGGACTGTACCTTGAGGTACAGAGCTTTTAACTGCACTTGGACTATTTTATATGGTTGACTGTTACTCTTTGTGTTCTGTTCGACAGAAAACCGAGTATCCAGCGTCCTACTTTACCGGTTATTCTCATTGATCACATTTTGTGTGCTGTCGCTCCAGTATGTCGTTATTCTCTTGTGTATTTGGGGATCTTCCATGTATATATCAGTACCTTCCATGTATATATTATTTGGTATCTTTCTCGTCTCTTTCTTGCAAAGAACACATTTTGAGAGCTTTTAGACGGTTCCAATAATTTAGATGTTTTATCGTTTCTATGCGTGTCGAATATGTTCTCTGTATTCCCTCCAGCCCATCCTCCTGTTTCGGTAGTACTATAGTAACGATGAGAACCAGAGGGTATATACCCACCTACAACTTGGTGGGTATATACCCACCTACAACTTGGTGGGTATATACCCACCTACAACGAAATTAGAAAGTAGAAATCTGAACTATTGAGTCGTACAAACCAGAAAAATATTTTGTACTCGTGTTGCTTTGACAAACTAAGTTAACCTAACCGCCCTAGGCCTAATACGCGCTATATGAGGCCTAATATAGTATATACGTGTGCTATACTAGGCCTAGGGATATTTGTTTTTTTTTTTAGCTTCAGTTACTTTGGTAAGGAATTCTTTTAGTCAGTATACTACTATCTAAAAGCTAAGTACGTACAAATTAGTGACTGTTAACGACCGTCATAATAACTACTATCTAAACTTGAGCATGGATTGACCAGACCACACACTAGAAGGTGAAGGGACGACGAAGTTTCGGTCCGTCCTGGATCATTCTCAAGTCGATTGTGAGAATGGTCCAGGACGGACCGAAACGTCGTCGTCCCATTACCTTCTAGTGTGTGGTCTGGTCATTGTGACGGTCATTGTGACGGTCATAGTGACGGTCATTGTTACGGTCATTGCCACGTTATTGTGACTCGTCGCCTAAACAGGAGCATGGGTTGATTCCTTCTAATTCAGAGATCTCTCTTGCTCTGAAAGGGGGAGTACTGAGCAGTACTCAACACGGGACAGTACCGGTGATTTAAATAGTAAACCGTAAATAAACAACCCTATTCAACAGGTGGTGTTTAACACCCGTTATTTCTTGCAATAACATCTCTAAATGCCTTTTTAAAAACATCCACCTTGGTCCCAGCAATATTTCTAATATGCTTGCTGGGAGATGTTGAACAGCCGCGGACCTCTGATGTTCAGTGTTCTCTGATTGTGCCTATGGCACCTCTACTCTTCACTGGACCTCTGATGTTCAGACAGTGTTCTCTGATTGTGCCTATGGCACCTCTACTCTTCACTGGACCTCTGATGTTCAGACAGTGTTCTCTGATTGTGCCTATGGCACCTCTACTCTTCACTGGACCTCTGATGTTCAGACAGTGTTCTCTGATTGTGCCTATGGCACCTCTACTCTTCACTGGACCTCTGATGTTCAGACAGTGTTCTCTGATTGTGCCTATGGCACCTCTACTCTTCACTGGACCTCTGATGTTCAGACAGTGTTCTCTGATTGTGCCTATGGCACCTCTACTCTTCACTGGACCTCTGATGTTCAGACAGTGTTCTCTGATTGTGCCTATGGCACCTCTACTCTTCACTGGACCTCTGATGTTCAGACAGTGTTCTCTGATTGTGCCTATGGCACCTCTACTCTTCACTGGACCTCTGATGTTCAGACAGTGTTCTCTGATTGTGCCTATGGCACCTCTACTCTTCACTGGACCTCTGATGTTCAGACAGTGTTCTCTGATTGTGCCTATGGCACCTCTACTCCTCACTGGTTCTATCCTGCATTTCCTTTCCTGCATTTGATAAGTTGTATCAGAATCTAGACTTATCAATTTGTATCCCATCATCTGGTGTTGTGTTGTGTGTTACATTTAACACCTTGATATTCCCTCATAAGTGTGTTACATTTAACACCTTGATATTCCCTCATAAGTGTGTTACATTTAACACCTTGATATTCCCTCATAAGTGTGTTACATTTAACACCTTGATATTCCCTCTTAATCTTCCACTTCCTAGAAAATATAACTTAAATTTCGTCAATCCCGACCGTCCAAGGGGTTGGACACCATTCCTTCCCCCCCCCCCTATCTCATCCCAAATCCTTATCCTGACCCCCGCTTCCCAGTGTCATATAGTCGCAATGGCTTGGCGCTTTCCCCTGATAAATTACCTTCCCTTCATAAATGGAGGTTCCTAATTACCAGAATTATTTATCATTCTCTCTCTCTCTCTCTCTCTGTCTCTCTCTCTCTCTCTCTCTCTCTCTCTCTCTCTCTCTCTCTCTCTCTCTCTCTCTCTCTCTCTCTCTCCATTATCAAAACAACTTACTCTCTATCCAACACAATGGTGACCAAAACTGACTTTAGAGTATCTAAATGAGGGGTATCTAAATGAGGGGTATCTAAATGAGAGGGGTATCTAAATGAGGGGGGTATCTAAATGCTAAACTACCTCCTCTTGAAATGGTAATTACAATGGTAATTAGGTGTTCTTATGGTAATTATTGGAGGATTTGGATTTTTTTTAATTAATTAATTTTTTAATTATTTGGATTTTGGTATTGTTGAAATCGGCCAAATGGGTAAAATTGCTTAACCTCAACATAAGACAGATCCTAACCTAGGCCTAACATAGGCCTAGGTTAGTGCATATATGTACTATGCTAGGCCTAACATAGGCCTAGGTTAGTGCATATATGTACTATGCTAGGCCTAACAGTGCATATATGTACTATGCTAGGCCTAGGAATATTTAGGTTTGAACTTTAATTTTCGGCCTATTCAATTATAATTACAAAAATGGTCCATCACTATATATTGGTACTTTCTGGTGGTCCATCACTATATATTGGTACTTTCTGGTGGTCCATCACTATGTGTTGGTACTTTCTGGTGGTC